TACACTACTTAAATATACGGATTCTTTTCTTAGTGTAGTAAGAAAGCTTCATTACCAGCCAGTGACTTTATTCAGTGTCATCAAGAATAAAAAAAATAGTTGTGTGAAAAGGAGATCTACCATGTGCTGCAGAGCTGCTTCAGTCCAGCACTGAAAACAATAAAATGGAAACTCTGGAACTGGTTATACCCAGTGACTTCATCTAACATTTAGATGGATATATATAACTCTCAAAATAAATGAACATTATGCCCTTTATATTAATCCCATTTTATTTTTGAGTAGTTTATTGAGATGCCTTGTTTAGGAGCTTAGTCTTTGCTGATTAAAAAGAAAATTAAGATAAGGAGACTAGCCATCCAGAGGGAGATACGAAATTGGGCTGAACAGGGCTTAAGAGACACATTAATACCCAATTTAGAGCTCCAAAATATAATAACACTCCAAATGGATTAAAAGTTTTGATATGGCCCTAATTCTGAGAGCAGAAACAGAAGAAAAATAAGAGCCCCCAAATATTTTTTGTTAAGGTTGGGTGGGGTGAACCTGATGAGAATATATTACTGGCTGGATTCATTTGGAATGAACAAAAATCATGCTTACAAAAAAGTGACATAGCTGCTACTCTGTCCAGAGCCTTTCCAGCTAAAATGCAGTGAACAACAGGGGAGCTCTAGTCATCACAGCAAAATTCCAACACATTTCAAACATTGTAATGATAGTTCCTATTGCATTATCATGAAGGGGGTGGGAAAGTAATCCTGTTTCTCTATGACTTTATACTCAAGCCACTAGAATATCCAGATGACAGAATCAGCTGTCCTTTTTATTGTTCCTTTTTTGGGTATTTTAAGTCTGACATTTCTCCTCTCAAGTTTCCTGATACTCAGCTGTTCTGCTTCACATACCTAAACTTCATTTCTGCTGTTGTGTTGTCTTTTAAGATACCATATTTCCTGTAGAATCGAGGTCAGAAATTTATTATGTGATCCAACACTGCTGTAGTTACTAGAATCCTTATATTCTGCATTTTTTTCTTCTGTTACATTATATCAGAGCTTAAATTATCAGTTAGGTATTGGTAGAAAAAATATTACACAACCTCTGTGTTTACCTACATTTCTGACTGCCAGAAATTTTCTACGATGGTAAAAATCCATTTTTCTGCTGATCATTTAAAAAATTAAATTTAAAAAAAACAAGTTTAAATCCTATAACTGACTATAACGTGTATCAAGCATACTACTAAATGCTTTTGGATTTAGTACAAGTAGATTTTGCATGTGATAGGACAGCATGAAAGTCTCGAGGTCAGTGGAACTATGATTTAAAATCCTCCAGTCAAATGCAATCAAATGGGATTGAGCACTGTAATCTCTGAATACTGACTGAAGTCCGTAAATCACTGCCCAGACACAGTTCTTTGCAGGGTCTTATAGGAAGCTAATGCACAAGTTATATTACAAAGCCAAACACCACCATTAAATGGCTTTGTTTTGAATGCCTGAATGTTGTTCCCCAGGAACAAATACCGCAGCATACACAATCCATTCTCATCAATGTTAGTCTTGTTAGGTTTCAATATAGAGCAAGAAAAAAAATATTACTTAAGGACAGGATTTTCAGTAGTGCCTAAATCCCGATGATTTTCAATAAGAAAGCTCTGCTGCATATCCTCCTCTATTACAGCTGTCAGCCACTGCAAAGACACTGGCTGCTGAAACCTGCAGTGCCCTGGGAGAGACTGAAATAAAACATCTACTGTTTGCTACTAAATGGTTTGCAAAGCCATACAGTGAATTGTATGCCTGACTGAGGAGACATACAAGACGCATACAAAAGACAACCTCCCAAGCGCATGAAAGAGAGGAAGATCCTGCAATGATGACAGTTAGCAATTACCTTCAAAACACAGACTATAGACATCAGCCAATGATATCAATCAGGTGTGGGAAACTGATGGATGATCAGCTTTAAATGCCTACATAGCTGCAGTTCTGTTTGAATCCTTGATTTTTTCTATTACACAACTCATTTATGTCTTTGTTTACCTCTTTTCCCCCAAAAATATATGGTTTAATACATATGCTAGGACAAACAAATGCTAGGACAGCATTTTTGTAAAGCAACAGGAACAACTGCACAGGGACCTGCATTCAGAAGGGATGCCCTGGCAGCACACTACCATGACCATCCCCCTGTCATATGCCCAAAGACATTGCCACATAATGCATCTTTAACGTCTTGTGTTTAAAACAGATTCGCCAAATTAATCTGTATCTTTTATATGGTGGTTGCTAGCTAGAAAAATTAACACCCATTTAAGAAAACCCTAACCTTTATGGGGGACCCCTCGTGGCCTAGTGGTTAGCATGCAGGACTCTCACTGCTGCGACCCCGGTTCGATTCCTCGGTCCCCCGGGGCAGATGGAGCCCGTTAGCCCTGTGAGGCCATTCATCTATGAGAAGGTCACTCTAAACAAACCTAAGTCCTGAGGACCTCACTGCCATTGTCCAAGATTGCTTGGCCCTGGCAGATGAACCTTAGGATTAAAGGGTGGGCTCAGTTCAGCGCAGGCTGTGTCTCACCTAAAAAATCCATTGCGCAGGCTGGAAAGGTAAAAGACCTTTCCCAAAATCTTCGTTCGCGAAGACTGGCCATTATTATAACCTTTATGGACAGAGACAGCCAAGAAAAGAATTGAAAAGATATTTGCTCCTCCAAGTGGGTGTGGAACAACCTTCTTGTCTAAAAAACAGACTTACTGTCTTCATTCATTTTCTGAATAGGAAGGAGGGAATGGTGTGGAAACTACCACGCTAGTTTTCAGGTCCTGCTCTGGACACCAAAACATCTCAATTTCACTCTGGGAAGTAAGAAACACTGTATAAATACTAAATGTTTCTTACACAGTATAGTAATGGTGTGAAGAGCAGTTCACAGACAAATCACAGGAGTGACTACAGCCAAGAGTCACAGATTTTATTCTCAACTTCTGCTATGAGTTTGATGCTTCTCAACAGATAGTTTATTTTTCATGGAAGATTTTGAAAAAAATCAAAGGCAAATGGCTATAGATATTAAAATTAGTATTGATAAGATTTTCATCCAATCTAGAAAATACTTATTTTCTTCATTTTGTTTTTTTATCTGTGGAATATAGAAAGAATAACAAGTCATGTTTCCTCACTGCCTGAATTATGAAGATAAAAACCCTGGCTTTTTTTCCATCCAGGTTGCCAGATAACTTATTTCTATAATATTGAAGTGAAAATTAAAAAAAAAATTCAGCTTCACAATAAAATTCAGTATTTATAGCACTTGTCTGTAGTAAACTTTATATAAGAATATAGCTACAAAATCATGTTTGCAGTAGGAAGCAGGAAAGCTTCTTTAGTTTGTCATAAAAGGCATTTTTTTGGTATCCATTCTGTTTTACGAAAATAAGTGTAAATAGTAATAGTTTCAAGCATGCAAGGAAAACAAACATGACGCAAATCCATCATTAGATAATGAATGCCTCTCTTGTCTGTTTCTACGATGTAGCAAAAATTTGGTCATGGTGAATAATTTTTAGCGTTTCGTCACAACCAGAAAGGATATATTAATTTTAATTTCCTTAGCCATAGGTTACTCAAAATGACTATCATATCACACACTGAATTCAATTCCAAAGCTTTAAGAAAACACTGCCTGCCCTGCCACTCTGAGTTCATACATGTACAAAATACCATTAGATGTGCTTTTTTATTAGAAAAACAATTTAGCATTGTAATTGACCACAAGAATACAAACTTTTGGGGATTTACCCTCAGATGCATGTTTAAATATATCTTACTCTTCTCCAAGAGTAGAATATAATGACACTGCAGTGTCAAATAACTGTGGTGTATGTAGAAGAGGCACAGTGCAATACTGAAAGCAGTGCCGTATCTTTGTTGACTATGAGTGGTCAATCTCAACAAAACATCTCAATACACTCCATTACTGGTATAAAAAAAAAAGCTATGTAGAATCATACTGTAATATTCACGACATGACAGGTAAGGGAAAACATTCAAAAAGATATAGGTTATTCACTATAGATAAAACAGAGAGAATAACCTCATGTGCATAGCATATATTAAGAGACATGAGTTTCTTCATTTCATATATATACATTAATTAAAGACTTGCTTATGAAATAGTTATTATGGACCCAAAAATGTACTGCTGTTCATTCTATTCACATGTACTGTGAAAATATGCATTTTCTTTATCCGGAAATTAGCCACAAAGAAAAATGCTGGAAGGAAATGACAAGCGGAAAAACAATACAATTAAACTTGTTTAAAAAAATAACATTTCTGCACATAAAATTTTTTTGCAAAAAGAAAGGTAAAAATAGAATATTCACAATTTTTACTAATGCTTCTAGAAAGGAATCTGGCTTTTCTTCCATGTCCAGAAGGTTCTGTTGGAAGTGATAAAACTGATTTAGACTACTGAAGGTTTCATGCTAGATTTCTACATAATTTTGTTGAAGGATAAAATAAAATTTTGCTATGTATCTGGGTAAGTTAGTATTCCTGTCTTCATGTTCCAAAGATAACTCTAGAAGAAACCATCATGAAAGTAGAAAGAATAAGATGGATAACTAAAAAGCCTTCTGAAAAAATGGAGAATTCAGAAACTCTGTGTTCAACAGTACCTTAAATGAAAGTCAAATGTCTCAGTAGTGGAATTTTAGAGGAAGTATACCTGCTGCCAGTGTAAAGCATACTATCTCTGCATCTCTTCAGGAGGTAACAAGCCATCTCTACAGTAAACATCAAATGAAGCAACTCCTTGAACTCCTTTATATTTCAGGAAGAGACATGTAACCATGATTTCAAGTTCTACCAGCCAAAATTCACTGCATTTCAGTATTTGAGAGGTCAACAAGGTCAGGTGCAATTTAAGCTACAAGAGAGATTAAGCATCAAGTTTGAAATGGATGTCTTTTCATTTTCCTAATTACCTTTTGGTCCTTTGAACAACTTGATCTCTACCACGGTCTCCAGTATAGGTCTTCTTCGACGAACATACAATCGTACTATGGAGCCAGCCTCTTTTAGGGCCTCCACGGCTTTGCTGTGTGAGACTTCAGACACGTCGACCTCGTTCACTCGCAAGATGCAATCGTTGACCCTACAAGAAAAACAAACATACTGAATGCTTCAGCTGTTACTTTGGACAGAACAGAGTTTTGTCAGTAGTGCTGTAAAATGAAGAATACTTCATTGGGAAATCTGCCAGACTTAATGCAATATGCTTCATAAGCAACGAGACAGAAATAGAGCACTTAGTCCTTCCAAAAGACATCCCTGATTCAAACTGAAGTGTACCTAATCACTCACACCTACCATCCTCCTTCATAAATTGGGGTTAGATCCACTAGAGTGATAGAAATGAGTAATAAACAACTTGTCTTTACAGACTTCATTGAAACAGTTTTTACTAAACAATATAATTGATTTAAAACACTCATTCTTGCATGTTATTACTACTGCGGTTGCTCTTAAGGAAATCTCACGGTTTAATACAAAGAATTCTAGAGTTGTCAAAGTAAAAATGCTGTCCTACAAAAAGCAGACACTTTAAAAGAGAATGCTTCATGCTAAATAACTTAAGTTTCATTCTTTATGTTTCCAACACTGACTGAAGGCTACAAGATCTGCTGTATGGTAACAGCTTTTTTTTTTTCACAGAATACTAGTAAAATTCCCTCACAGCCTTACTTTGAGCATTTACTACATTGTCTGAGGATGAACATATAATCACCCTCAAAATGTCCTGGTTAGATGGAGTTGTGTTCTCTTTATCTGACAGATTTGTCCTAGTTGGAAAGGAAATCTAAAACTTGAGAGCAGTAAAATCCATCTCCAAAGCAGCAGGCTAATGACTTATCTACTGAGTCATCTTTTCTGTGCAAACAAGAGCAAATTCCAAAGAACTAGATGAATTGAAACTCTATTGCTCTTGTGCAGTACATTTATTGTGAGATGCCTCTAAGTATTTTGGGTACAGAAGAAAAAGGCATATGTAAATGAATGTGTTGTTCTGCATGTCTGAAAGGACAATCAGTGAAGCACATATGGGCTGCTAAAAATATTCCATTTACGCTACGTTTCTATACAAAAAAAATCAACTATTGAATGTTACTCTTTAAAACAAAAGAATACTTGAACTGGTTAGCACATGGAGGGAGAACGAAGCTTTACCAAAAGTTTACCAGAACTCTTGAGAATTTAGGATGGATTTTTGTCATGTTCTTGGACTGCTATTTAAAACAAAATCAAATCAAAACAACAAAAAGACCACAATTATTTGAAACTGGTCAAACTTGGAAAGGACACAAGATTGATACTTCCCTTCTAAGAGAAAGTACTATATTGCTAAGTTTCCAATTTTCATTCACTGGTCGAGTTTGGTGGTTTCCCCCAATGCCAGAAGTACTAATTTTCCAAATGTTTAATTGTGAGGTTTGTCTTTCAAATTAATAAGCACTCTAACATAAATTGCTTTTCTTCTTGTAAATAAATTATGAATACACTCTGCATGTATTCATACATGCTTTCCACTCAGAAAGATCATTTAAGAAGTAATATTACTATATATCTGATTCTTTTCATTGGTGGTTATGAAGATGAAAAGGTGGTAAAAGATTATAAAAACACTAAAAAGGAGGATTACATTTATTTTGATTTCATATACTCTGTGCCCTGCATTGATAAATCATAATATTAGTAGATAACTCTTTCTACTTAAAATCTCTCATAAATGCTCTAGTGATGGCCCCTGTTAGAGGAAAAAGAATGTCTTTTGGAGAACTAAATAAACAACATAAATTAACTAGCCAAAATCAGTAAGACACACACCTCCATTTATTGAACAACAAAGACCCTTTGGAAAAGGATATTTACACTCCCAACAGAAATCTTGCCTTATCTTCTTCTTTGAAACAGTAAGACTACCTTAAAAAAAAATAAAACAAACAAAAAGCAAAACCCAAAACCAAACAAACAACTACCCAAACAATAAAACAAAAACAACCCAAACCACAGAATAATACTTGCAGTGTAGGATAAATGCAGGAGTTAGAGAATACAAAGCCAATCCAGTGGTAGATACACTTTCACACAAAGTTTCACTGAAGAGCTGAAAGCACCTCTTCTATAGAGACAGGCTGAGAGAGTTGGGGTTCTTCAGCCTGGTGAAGGCTCCAGGGAGAGCTCAGAGTAGCCTTCAATACCTAAAGGGGCTAAAGGAGACTTGTGTCTCCTCCCTGGAGTCTGTACAAGGGCAGGTAGTAACAGGACAAGGGGGGATGACTTTAAACTGAAAAAGGGTAAATTTAGATCAGATATTAGGAAGAAATTCTTCACCATGAGTGTGGTGAGACACTGGCACAGGTTGTCTAGAGAAGATATAGGTGTCCAGTTCCTGGAAATGCTTAAGGCCAGGTTGCATGGGGCTTTGAGCAACCTGGTCTAGCGGAAGGTGTCACTGCCCGTGGCAGGGAATGCTGAACTAGGTGATCTTTAAGATCCAAACCAATCTACGTTGCTATGATTCTATATCCTTCCACACATGTAGGGGTTTTTTTCTCCCTCATAAAAAGATGAGTTTTTTTGTTTTAATAAATAAATACAATATTAAAGAACATATATATATCTGCCTATAGAGTTCTGAGGGCTTTAAAGAACACCATTTTTACATGGTGTACAGCATGCTGACCCAGTATTAGATCAAGAGAATACAATGATCTCAGAGGTCTACAAATATTCTTTGAGAATATTCAGTCTTCTAAAATGCAGGTCTGTGGTGCAATGAAAATAAATAATTAGGCTGGTGAGATGACTCTAACCTTAACCATAATAGCTAAATTATTATGTGATTATTACTAATCTAGAAACATTTGAATAGTGCATGTGGAAGATAAAACCAAATCATTATTCACTGAAAAGGAGACAACTTCAGAAAAGAGAGTAAAACAAGAAAGATGAAGAAATATATCAACACAGACTATGATGTCATATTTTTCTTCTTAAATCTATGCAGCAGGTTTTCATGGCAAATAGCATAGTTATTATTATCTAAAGGCAGAAGTCTGCGACCATGGGCTTAGGATACTTTTTCCTTCCACTTAAACTTTCACAGTACAGTTCCTACTCTGTCAGAAATCTGCTCTTTTAGTGAACTATAAATGCTGCAACAATATAAACATAAAATAATAATAGCAAAAAAAGTCAGTAGATCCAGTTTAAGAAAATTCTTACTTAGGGATAAAATTATTCTTCTGCCCTTGCAAACAGCTCTCCAATGTATTTTCCTGGCTCTATATTCATGTGACAAGTATATGGCAAAACTTTATTTCAGTGTTTCCTTTTCCCATTTATCTCAAAATCTTCCTAAGGCCTCTACCCTACAAGTAGAAGTTAGTTTCAGGTGGTTACAGACTTGTGCCAAGGAGAAGATCTGCTTCATAATCCAAGACAGTACTACGCAAGTCCAACAGAAGAGATCCTTAAAGTTTCACCAATACAAACAGTAATCATGTTGTCATATAATCATAGAAAGGTTTGGGCTGGAAGGGACTTCATACATCCTTTTGGCCCTCCTCTGGGTTCACTCCAATATTTATTTTGTTGGGGGCCTGAGAGCAGGATGCAGCACTCCAGATGGAGTCTCACAAGAGCAGAGTAGAGGGGCAGAATCACCTCCCTTGACCTGCTGTCCACACTGCTTTTGATGCAGCCCAGGACACAGTTGGCTTTCTGGGCTGCCAGTACACATTATCATGTCATGTCAAGCTCCTCACCTATCAATATCCCCAAGTCATTCTTCTCAGGGCTGCTGTCAAATATTATGCATATTCGAGTCTGTAGAATCCCCAGTGAAGGCAACAACCTAATTAAAAATAAGTTAAGCAGTTCTTCACATTGCTCACTGGGTCATCCAAGTTCTTTAACAAAATTGACATGTTCTACAAGACTTTTGTAGTATAAATTACATATGAAGGACCCTAAATTGTAAAATACAGAATACATGCAATAATAATGCCAAAGCAGTTACAACTGATAGAAGAAATATGAGAGATACTTTGTTGTTAAGGGGGAAGGTCAGGGACTCAGAGGTTTATGGATAGTTATTGCTATCTTCAAAGGAAATAAGGGCTTGGATTAAGGAAAAAAACCTATTTTTTAAGGGCTTAAACTTGACTATCTTCATTTGAGTTTCATTTTTACAGTTTTCAAGAAATTGTGCAGACATCCTTGAGAAGCTGATAATTGCTTCAGTCAAGTTATAAGTAAAGAAGACGAGTACAATCCTTAGGGACTAACTGGATATATAGTAGGTGACAACTGGTAATGATCATTCTGTTCACTTGTTCTGTGCAATATGGTGCCCTGAAGGGAAACCCAAAGCAGCACAGCATGGCAGCTAAGAGCCCCAGAAGACCAAATGGTTCTGCCAACACACATTACCCCACTTGCAGTTTATAGCAGAGCTAGTTGGAGCAACTATAGACTCAAGAACAAAGGAGTAATCTGTACTCCGTGGATCAACATCATGACACTAAATCCTGTAGTAATCCACAGGCCTTAGCTATGATCTAGACACCTCCTGGCTAGCTGGTATTATCAGGACAATCCCGTTTTTCACAAGTAGAGTTACCATGCCTTCTATAGCCGAATGGCCAACAGATAAAAGTAAGACAAAGAAGCACTAAACTTGCCTTTTATTCCTTTGCTCCAACTTTGCCTAACCTTTTTTGCCAGTTTCCCTATAAAAGTGTTGTTGCTTTCTTTCTTCCAGAACTTGCAAGAACACAGCCCTTTAAGCAGGAATACAAGATTCTAGGTGATAAGCTGAAAGGGCTGATTATTATCTTTTCTTCAAGAGATCGGCAAATAATTATATTAACTGACCCTAATAGAATATGTCTAGTCTATTAGTTAGGGAAGGCTGACTCTCTCTCCCCTACTTTGGTTTTGGTGTGGGCTTTTCTTTTAAATTCTATACACACCCTTCCTATCCCATACTGAGTAAAATTTACAGCATATGGGGTAAAAAATGTAATTATTGATAGTGGTCCATATAACTTCTTTCCAAGAGGAATAATACCTTTTTTTTTTTAATTGCCA